ACGAGTGTCAAACCCAGTGTCAATCCAGTTGTTTGCTTATCTGTCAAACCAGTGTCAAACCAGTGTCAAACCATTGTCAAACCATTGTCAAACCAGTGTCAAACCTGTGGTTGCTTATCTGTGGCCATGCGTATCTGTCAAACCAGTGTCAAACCCAGTGTCAAACCCAGTGTCAAACTATTGTCAAACCATCGTCAAACCAGTGTCAAACGAGTGTCAAACCAGTGTTTGCTTATCTGTGGCCGTGCTTATCAGTGTTTGCTTAACTGTTTCCGAGCTTATCTGTGTTTGGCTATTGTCAAAGTCGAACCAATTTCAAACCAGTGTTTGCTTATCTGTGGCATCGGCAGGTGCAGGGGGGGGAAGCTGGGCAGGGTCCTGCTGGTTAAAAGTAAAAACTGGAATGATACAGGGAACCTTTTTTTTTTTTTTACTACACAGAAAATCACCATAACTCCAGTGCACGAACTGAGGGGGGGGGCAAAGAAAAAACAGGGACAACATGGCGCGAAGGACTGTAATGAAAGCATCCTTAGGGTGCTATCTGTCGAAATGGGAATGATACAGAGAAGCTTACCATTGCCCCTGTGCAAATGACACGCAAAAATCATGAAGAAATGGTGCCAAAGCGAAGAAAAGAAGGAAAAAAGGACAGGAAACAGTGGAAAGTACGTCCAGCAGCATCTAATTAGGCGAATCGTGAGACTTGTCGCACCTTACGTTTCGTCTCTTCCTTTCCCTTTTTTTTTTTTTTTTTTCCAAACAACAAAAAGAACTTGCCCCTACCATTCTGCCGGGCCTTAGTCCATCACCGACAAGCATGTTTTTGCAGTTGAAGAAAGGCGGGAGAACCAGACGGGACAGAGGGTCAGCCCATCCCTTCGGCACTAGTCACCTAGCAAGGGGGGGACTGCTTCAGGGCGGCTGCTTCAAGGCGGCCCTCCCCCCAAACCGGGGCCTTTTAGAGGGTTGCCCTGCTGGCCGTGAGGCTTGCTAGTCACCTAGCAAGGGGGACTGCTTCGGGCCAGCCCTCCCCCCAAACCTTTGTGGCACCAGTCACCTAGCAAGTGGGGCGACTGCTTCGGGGCGGCCCTCCCCCCAAATCGGGGCCTTTCAGAGGGTTGCCCTGCTGGCCATGAGGCTTGCTCGTCACCTAGCAAGCGGGACTGCTTCGGGCCAGCCCTCCCSCCAAACCCTTGTGGCACTAGTCACCTAGCAAGTGGGGSGACTGCTTCGGGGCGGCCCTCCCCCCAAACCGGGGCTTTCAGAGGGTTGCCCTGCTGGGCGTGAGGCTTCCCGGCAGCACCCAGTCACGCAGCAGGGCAGCTTTCACATAGGCAAGGCGCTGGGGAGCCGCTCCTAACCGTTGCTCAGGCTGCTTAACATCCTGTTTCTTGTACCATCCTGTAGCCCATGTTTGGTTCGAGCCAATTCCACACCAGGTCCATACCGGCGTCTACCCACTTATGTACATACAGTGCTTCCTCATTCTTCACCTTTTGGACCAGACAACCAGCACACAGATGATATGAACCCCAGCGTTTGCAGTCCCCGTTCCTCGTATCCTCCTCCTAACTGCTGATGATTGTTTTTGATAGTGCTTTGAGTGTGTCTTGTGTTTATTTTCGTGTTTCCCACTGTTCCTCCCCCTACCTCCTTCATCCCATTCGCCCTATATTCCATCGGCGCCCCTTACTTCCCATCCCCGCTAGATTTATTAACCCCTCCTTTCCAATGATCTGCCTTTTTTGCGGGGGGCGGGGAGGGGGGGGGGGCGGATTGGGGGCGGGGATCATCTGTCTTCAATTGTCAGGTTATGGAAGTGACATGTTGTAGAACCGTGACACGCCATAGAACCAATCGCCAAAGGCTTCGATTGAGTGCCCTCGCTCAGCGAAAATTTTTGAAAATTTTCTCTGATGTTGTACCTTGTTGGGCGAGTGGGAGTGGGAGTTGACACCTCCGCAGGAAGAAGATGGGACCGGAGGAGCTGTGACTTCTGTTTTGACCCTCGATCGGACACAGCTCCTCCAGTCCCATCTTCTTCTGGTGATCAGGCATCCCCTGGTTTAGGCCTCACGGGGCTTTGGGGGCTTAGGATCTAGGGTTTTAAGTGCCTTAGGGCTTGGCGGGCTTCAGGGCCTTGGGGGCTTTGGGGGCTTCGGGTTTCGGGCTTAGGGGGCTTAGGGTCTTGGGCTTAGAGGGTTTAGAAGGCTTTAGGGCTTAGAGGGCCTTGCAGGCTAAGAATTTAGGGCGTACGGAGCTTAGGGGGCTTAGGATTTACGGCTTAGGGGCCTTGTGGTTCAAGGCTTAGGGGGGTTAGTGGGCTTAGGGTTTAGGTCTTAGCCAGCATAGGGTTTAGGGCTTAGGGGGCGTAGCAGGCCTAGGGCATAGGGCTTAGGGGGCTTAGGTTATGAGGCTCAGGCGGCTTAGAGGCTTAGGGGGCTTAGGGTTTAGGGCTTAGGGGCTTAGGGGGGTTATGGTTTAGGGGGCTTAGAGGGCGTAGGGGTCTCAGGGTTTAGAGCCGAGAGAGCTTAGGGGGCTCAGAGTTTAGGGCTTAGGGAGCTAAGGGGGCTTAGGATTTAGGGCTGAGGGAAATTAAGGGGGGCTTAGGTGGACTGTGGGGCCTCTAAGGGGATTAGCAGGCTTAGGGGGCCTTAGGAAATAGGGTTTAGGGGGCTTAGTGGCTTATTAGGTGGACTGTGGGGTCTCTAAGGGGATTAGCGGGCTTAGGGGGCCTTAGGAATTAGGGTTTAGGGGGCTTAGTGGCTTAGAGGGTTTACGGGGCTTGGGATTTAGGACTTGGGGTTTATCGTGGCGGGAGATGGTGAGCATCACACACCATCAGCATCGAGCGGCGAGTTCTGTCCTTCACATTGGATCCGACAATTTGTCGTGGTTCTTCCCCGGCAACGGATGGAGCTGCAGAGTGCTGAGTGTGCGATCCTTGTTTTTCTTTTTATAGAATTTGTACCATGTCTCAATTCATGTGTCTTATCCCTTGCGCAGTGGCTATGCGAAATTGCGAATCTTCCCCGTGTCGGCTCGATTTTAATGGATGTACAGATCCATATAAGCCTTAGCCTTATCTACATCATCTTCCAAATTCTTATCTGTGTCTTTGTCGTCTCATCTTGTAGCCCACTGTCGTTTCTGCAGTGTGAGGCGAGGGGTGGACGGATCGGTGGACACACAGAGGGGTGCTGTCGGCAGAGGGGTGGCTATGTGCTGATTGTTAACTAAATTCCCTGATTGTTTTTTGGTTTTATTTTTATGCCCGGATTGCCTTGGAAAATGCTGATCCGTTTTTCAAGCAATAATGACGTATGGATCGCCCCGCTTCTTTTTTTCACCTTGTCAACTGGGCTACCAGAGTGGCCCGGGACCACATGCGCGGCCAGGCCAGTAAAAAATAATAAAATAAATCTAAATAGTAAATAGTAAACAATAACTATTTTAAAATATTTTTTTAACTTTATTTTTTTATTTTAAATTTGGTAAAGAATTTCGTTGTGATGCTGAGGCAAAAGTTGTTCAGTTTAGTCCTTCGGGACATCCGTTAAAATTGGAACAATACAGAGAAGATTAGCATGGCCCCTGTGCAAGGA